TCAACAAGTTCCTTTCCTTTAAAACTTGCATCACAGGCAGATTGCTCCTTGTACTTTCTAGATGTCCGGTGTGTTCTCCTATTCTGTCTAGATAGGTGTGGCTTTCAGTTGTGTGTTGCCTGCTTCTTCAACATCCTTGCTAAGGTTCCTGACTTTGCATTCAGGATGACTTCCTTCCAGGGTTATTTCTTTTTGGTATCATCATGCGCAGTGATTTATCCTTTTCTCATTTCGTTAGAGCTGTTGCCTACATATAGAAATGAAATGAAATGAAATGAAATGAAATAACATCATTTACCTTCAACTTTGACCTAAGCCCCATCATAGTTTGCAAATGGTTATTTCATGAATATGAGCAATAATTTGCACAGGTGTATATGGTACTATATAAAGGCCTTTTAAACATGGGATGTGGTTGATCTTTGTTAGGGCACTGTGGCAGGGTTGGTCTCACGTGTTTGGCAATGGACTGGGCAGATATGCCGAAGGTTAACTGTTAAGTAAACTTGTGGCTTTAGCTTTACAAAGTACTCTGCACTTTGGAAGTTTTCTTTCAGCCAGTTACTGAAATAGAGATCCATATTCATAGCCGTGAGGATTATAGCCATCATGACCATAGCTTGTTATTTCTGTACACAAATGCAGCTTATATTTCACAGCTGTGTATAAATGTGTGCATGCAAAGGCCAAGAGATAACAGTGATCAGAAATGACAAGGTTTTCTGCAGCAGTATTTCAGTGTTTAGGAGAATATTATACTTGGGTTTGCAATATAACATGGTTACTACCATTGAATGAAGATGCTTATCCTTACTGTGATGAATTTGGAGATACACAAAAGGCATCATTTTACCATTGTTACTTTGCATTCCTTCTTTTATACACATGAAGTATTTCTTACTTATAACAATTAAGGCACCTTCTGAATCACTATTATATATGAAACACTATTTTTATTGGGTTGTATTCAACTAAAACTTACTCAGCGTAGACTCATTGAAATGAATGAACCTAGTTATGTCCATTAATTTTTGTGGGTCTACTCTGAGTAGGACTAACATTGAATACCAGTCATAGTCTCTGGTTTACTGAACTGCATTTGCTAAGCCTAAATTGTATTTGTACACACCTTAGTTGTATGTATCAATTTATATAAATATGAATCTATATTTAAGAATTCTGCATCTCTCACATACCTGCATATCTGCATGTTTATGGCTTGTGAATTAATGTTTTCAAGAATTGAATTTTACTTTCCATGATGTTTTCTCAAGCAAGTTAATACTACCTTTTGCAGTTAGAATCATAGAATCATAGAGTTGGAAGAGACCACAAGGGCCATCGAGTCCAACCCCCTGCCAAGCAGGAAACACCATCAGAGCACTCCTGACATATGGTTGTCAAGTTATGCCAGATCTTGTTGTTTTCTGTACTATGCCTGAACAATTTTAAGCTATGATCCCATGGAATTATTAACGTTCTGTTATAGGCTGTTGTGGACCTGGTGCAACCAGTTGAATGCAGTGGTTGCCTCTCTCTACATCCTATGGATTTTTATGAAATATCTCTTAGTTTTGTAAAGCCATGAACACATAACAAAAACATGAATATAGGATCTCTATGAAGGAAAATGAGAATAAATTATAACAAGCTTCAGAATATATTATAGCTGGCATCTACATCCCAGCAAAATCAATGGAATGCTATGCATTTAATGATACTGGGTTCTTACCCACTGTATTTCAGTTTCTGAAAGCTTGAGAGACCAGTTTAGGTATAGCTGGGTGTACAGTACAGTGAATTTGTAAAACCAGTCTTTGTACAGAACTTACATATTGATGATTATATACATTAATGTTGGCAAGTCTTTCTTTTACTGTCTATTTTAAAGCAATTATCTGCAAGCAATAACAAATCTATTGTTCTTCTTGCTCAGTTACTTAGCATGATTTTTAGTCACTTTTAATGCTTTCTGGTTGTAAAAAGAATTATTTGTTGCATAAAAGTCTCACCATAGTTTATGATTCTTGAAAAGCGCCAGAAACTGTTGTGACAACAGTTCCTGGGAAAGATTGCAACACTAATTGTTTAATTATCTCAAGGATTAACACTTGGATCTTAAGAGCAACTTCAGCTCATAAGGGGCTGGATGCAATTTCTGCTTTTTTGTCTTTGAATGACAGACCCCATGCCCCAACACAAACTGCTTTTGAAGCTACCCTCATTTTTGAATGCACTTCTCCCATCCGGTGTAAAAAAATGGTTTTTGACAAAATCTAAAGTCTCCTTGGATCTTGGTTCATGAGTCTTTATATTTTAGCCCCTTGCTACAAGTGTAAATTGTGTGCTAGCTAGGTTTTTACTAGATAATCTTCATTTGTTTAAGTTTCAAAATTACATATTCAGCTGCTCCAACAGGAAAAAAAGGCTCTCAAAACTGCTTGCAACTGCAAGCAGCTATATAATGTGGGAATCAAATTCATAGGGTTGGAAGGAAAGTTGTATTGAAAGTGACAGGTGCCACAAAGTTTATTTAGGACAACCTCAGATGTGTCTGTTAGTCTCATAATGTTTGCCTAATATATGTTCAGCTACAGCACTTCCTGCTTTAGAACCTTGTGTTACACCAATATTACTCTCTGTGCTCCTTCAACTACAAATTGGATGAACAGACAGTGACACTTTTTCAATATTATTACATTAAACCAAGTGGATTTTGATTGATAACCTAATATTCAACTAATGCAAAACATCAATCATGGCAAGTATATTAATTATTTAATATTGCAGTCTAATTCAGAAATCGATGTGCTGCATGAGGGGAAGGGAAACTCGCTGTTCCCAGAAGACTTAAGACAGGGAATGATTAAAAAAAAAAAAAAGACCTGCTATACTCTCGTGTGTTAGCTCGATGCTAATCTTTATTCATTTGCCAATAATCTCTTCCCATTTTCCACTTCAGGACCATTTTATCAGTTTTGAGATCTATAATTGAATTAAGTCTGCTTTCAGCACAGAGCAAAAAGAGTTGCACAAATATTGATGAAGTCATGACAGGGACAGCACAGGAGACAGACCACTGAAGAGGACAGATTTGATGCCATTAGCTGGATGCTCCCTGTATCAGTGACCTAGGCCCTGCTTCCTAGCAATTAAGTTCATTAGGACCTTTGGCACCAAACAGTATAAATACAGGGCTTGAATTCTCTTTTAATAATGCATGATGTGATAAAGTAACTTTCGATTATTATAATAAGGGTTTGAATCCAACTTTTTCTGTGATGATTTTTAAAAAAATGTAAGTTAGGCAAGTACGCATATTTGCTTCAGGGTGGTTTTTTAGGGGGCGCCTGAATAAAAAGCGTTACTAAAAATATATACTGAACCCTCTAGGATGTTTTTAAATAACTGTACAGTTAGGATTGTGCCTGTACGGCACAGTTGTAATTTGCAGTTGCTACTGTACTGTAATCACATATTTGAGTCAATCCAGTGCTGGAGTTTACTTATTGTAATTTGTCTGCATGGCAAATCATGCCTATGTGCATAGTCTAAGCCCAGCCCCTCATCCCTTCTCATCCACACGAAACGACACCCTTCAGTGCTATCTCTAGACCAGGCATGGCCAAACTTGGTCCTCCAGATGTTTTGGGGACTACAACTCCCATCATCCCTAGCTAACAGGACCAGTGGTCAGGGATGATGGGAATTGTAGTCCCAAAACATCTGGAGGGCCAAGTTTGGCCATGCCTGCTCTAGACCTTTTTATACCCTTTCCCCAGCCCTGTCTCTTTACCATACCCAAAATTTCTCTACTTTATGGCTGTGAAGATCAACTGAGTATTAGAAGTAAGGCTCCTTTCAGTCAGCTGTCCACCTGTTATGCCACTCAATATTCAGTAAGAGCTGCTTGACAGTGGTACAGTCTCCCACATGAGGTTGTGGACTCTCCTTTATTGGAGGTTTGTAAGCAGAGGTTGAATGGCCAACTGTCACGAACGCTTTTGTTGAGATTCCTGCATTGCAGGGGGTTGGACTAAATGATCCTTTGGGTCCCCCTCCAAGTCTATGATTCTGTGATTCTATTCCCTGATGAACCTCCTTACTTAACCTTGAAACCTGCCTTGTCTGGATTAAGCTTCACCTCTAGTACTTCGCAGATTACAGAGACCGGGTCAGAATCTCCACTGCTTCCTTGGAATCAGATCAAAAGGAGAAAGGGTTAGGTGGGATGGAGAGAAAGAACAACAAAGGGCACAAGAGGGAACCTTATTGGATACCATATGCCAATGGCCATAGCATCAACTTGCCATTCAGAAAGGCTCAGACTAGCGTAAAACAGTGCACCCAGAAACCATTATATTGTAGCTGATGACATAAAAAGCATCTCAGAGGGCCAGCAGAACCAACAGAGAGGCACTCCTTGTGTACATCAAATTAGCTTCTTCTGTATGTACGTGTGTATCCATTCAGCTGGTGTTAGAAATGTGTAATTTGTAATAACTATTTTAGTTTGATGTTGACAGTACTTAGTTTTGTTACAGTATGCTTGGGTAGAAAATGCAAATATATGCCTTAGTATACATTCCTAGCTGCATTTGACTTGTCACTCAATGAAATAAATCATCATCCATTAATATTACACATTTTAGTTGATTAACGTGCAAATTTATACAAATTGAATCTGAATATAACAATAGTGCTGAAGAAGAAAAAAAGAATTTTGTTGTTAGATGATGGAAATGTTTTCTTCTGAAATAAATTGATGGTTTTCTGACTAACTCATAATGATGGAAAAAATGGAATTGTGCAAGACTGCCATTCTGCCATTTATTGTATTTATATTTTCTTATATTATTATCATTTAAACAATTCATATATTAAAACAAACATAGAAGACGGTATGACTTTCTCTTCTTTTTCAACTTTCCAAGTTGCACATAAATAATTGCAGACAAAGGTTTGGCATCTATTTATAACTTTTTGTTCTTCTGTTACAGGGATGCTGGAAACATCAAAGCTGGATTAGAACATCTGGTAAGTTCTAATTTTCTCTTGAATATTTGCATCATCTTTGATATCTGCATTCCAAATGAACACTTTTGAATGAGCTTTGAATACCTTGAATTGAGAAAGTCAACCATTTCCCAGAGGGTCAGCTTACTGTTATTATGTGAAGGCACTTACATTTTCATTTATCTTACGTTTCAAGGGATTTTAATTTTTTTAAATTACTTTTTTTTTTTTTTGATGTAGAGATGAAATGAAATGGACTGTAATCCTTGGATTGATGATTGCCTTAATTATAAACAAAAAGTTGTTTGGTGTTGGATTTTTGGCATATCCTGATCTGAGAACAGTAAACTTGTACTTTAAAACACATTCAAATTTTGCATGCATAAATATGGCATTTCAGTAATTTGAGATCTCTGAAATAAGTACGCAGCTTTGTTTTAACAATGCCTTTATATTATGAATTGTGTTGACATTTAAATTCTATTAAGTTCTAAGATGTACAGTACACAGAATTCAAATTATTTAAGTAAGCATATTGTAATTGTGAGTAAAAGCTTAGTGTTAAATACAGTTATATTGTTGTCAGACAGAAAAAAGCTTATCTCCCGAGTTTACGCCCATAAGACTCAGAAACGTGAGGAGTTAGGAGTCTAATGTTGTTTATTGCAAAGCAATAGGTTACAGCCGGATTGTTCCGCAAAACTGCAACCCCGCCTGGTTGTCCAGGCAGTGGTATTTATAAAATTTCAAACAAAGCATTTCAAGATCCACCAAGCATATACATCCTTACCTCATTTCATGTTTAATACACATGTGGAATTAGCATTGGCAGTTTTTGCTGTTTAAGTTCTGATTCCCACCATGTTCTGTTACATTGTGTTAGTGTGCATGTTGGGAACCTGTGTTACGTGTAGCCATTTGCACCATGTAGCAATGGGGGGGGGGGCAACTTGCAAAAGCATCAGTTTCATAAAGTAACAGGCTACCATAACTTCTCTATTAGAAGCACACTCAAGGATATACAGGGGTACACATTATCACATTTATTGTGGTCCTTTGGGCCACCGCCATGCTTATCACAAGCTTGATATATATCACATGTAATATGTTAACAGTTATTATGAGAATGTTACATTTTAATGACTACTTGGATCCAAAGAACTTTAGCCAGAGTTCCTTTCAGACAACTGGACTTTCTTGTCCACTTCTCACTTCAGCCCCTTGTGCCTTATTAAAATAAACTTCCCAGGGGCAGGGGACCCTCAAGAATTCTTTGTAAAGTTGTGCAGAAATTATTCTGTTTGTGTCTGAGAGACAGAGAGAAACTTGATGGATATATGAGCTAGCCCTGCTACCTTAAACTAGTTGAAGTGCCTTCTGTTTGACCAAGAGGCTTTTTGGATCCAAGTTAATTTTCCTGGCTTTTTGTTAAAATTAAAGATCCATTTTGTTTGTGTGCGAGTCCCCCCCCCCATTCAGTGTATAACCTGATGTGGATGATTTATTTGGTTTATATCCTACCCTTTTTCCTGAAGTAGCCCAGGGTGTCAGATGCCACAATAAAAAAACATAGTTTAAACAACAGCTAAAAACCTTAAAAAAAAATTTTTTTAAGACAGTCTCAACCAGTGATTTCGGGGTTGACAGGAATAGTATATTCTATCCATCAAATGCCTGGGTAAACAGGAATGCTTTAAAATTTCTTCTTAAAGTCAATAATGAGGAAGACAGGTGGAACTCAATCAGGAGTGCATTCCACAAGTTGGAAACTACCATTGAAAAAACCCTGCCATCCAGGCAGCCCCCATTGATGACAACACTAATCAGGACTTCCTTGCTGATTGCAGGGTCCAAGAGAAGGCGCTGTTTTAGCTAGTTGGGTTCCAAGCCAGTTAGAGCTTATGCTAGTACCGCAAGCCCACAACTTACTCAGAGGTTATATTCTGGGGATTGCTCGTAAAACCAAAATCGTGCATAGTTAAAACACATTGGGTGCAATAGATGGTGGGATTGCCAAAGTCTTTTCCCTGGAATGCCCACTTCCTTAAAAAACAATACAAAACTTATTTTGCCAAGCCCATGAAGTTGAATGCACACAAGTTAATGTGTGTAAGATGTGGGCTTACTGTACTAACACCTTGAATTTGGCTCAAGAGCTCACTGCCAGCCAGTGCAGTGCAGTGCTGTCAGGACCATTGATCCATTGTTCTATCAGGCGGTGCCCCCACTTACCGGCCTAGTAGCCTCATTCTGTACTAGCTGCAGCCTCTGGACCATCATCAAGGGCAAGCTCACATATAGCACATTACAGTAGTCCAGATGGGAGGTCATCAGAGCATGGGCAACTGAAATTAGTACAGTGAATGCTTTATATTGTTTCAGTTTTCCAGTGTAGCTGGTATTTCTCCTTGTTAACACTAATTTTTTTAAGCCCTTGGTGTTCCTCCTTTACCAGTTTTTAAACCACCACTTTCACTCTCTTAGTGTGCTTCCCTTCTCACTCCCAGGCCACTGCTATTGTCCAACCTGACTTCTCTTTTGCTTCTCTATCCCCCCTGACTTCATGCAAATCCAGGGTTGTGATGAGGCTTTCTGAAACCTCCAGTGGGGGGCTGTACTAGTGCAAATATAATATAGGGAGAAACATTAATGAAATTACCTAAAAAATGCTTGGCTTCAGAAAGTCTTGGACAGTTGTCTTGCAAAATAGAATGCTGATTTATAGCTTTTTAAAAGGTTTTATTTATGATTTTACTGTATACAAACATATGTGTTCATATATTGGATTTTTGTCAAGAAGAATAGTAACAAGTACCCATTATTAACATTCCCCTTTCCCCCTTGAAAGTGTAGGTAACCAACATTAACTAGTTTACTAGTTTGTATTTTTGTTTGTACATTATCTGTGTTATATAGTTTTCAGTTTGTTGAGAATATATGTAAGTAGGGGTTAAGTAGACTACTGTAAAGTAGGAAATTATCTAACAGTAGTAAATTATATAATTTTGTTTATTTTAGAATAGAAATAGAAATACTTTATCACTGTACCACTTGTTTACAGTGAGATTAAACGAGACCCCCCATCTCTCAGTCCTTGTTATACTCTCTGTGCTGTCGTATGACCACCAACCTCGAACATCAGCCGCAATGTTGCTCTCTTCCATTCAGCAGCCTCATGGCCCACGGGTAGAAACTCTTCTTTAACCTGTTGGTGCAGCTTATCATGCTTTTATATCTCCTGCCCGAAGAAGAGCATGATATCTTGTGCTGTCTTCCCCACCCTCTGTAGGGACTTTCTGTCCATGGCTGTCAAACCAGTGTACCACACCATAATACAGTATAGTATAAGAGGACACTTTCTATCATGGACCGATAGAAGGAAATCATCAGTTGCTGTCTGACATTGTTCTTTCGCAAGACCCTAAGGAAATGGAGTTTCTGTTGGACCTTCCTAACCGCCTGGGCTGTATTGACCTTCCAAGTAAGGTCTTCACTAAGATGGACTCCCAGGAATTTAAAGGAAGAGACTCTCTCCACACAGCCCCCCAATATACAACGGGGCTAGCTCCCCTCTCTTCATCCGAAAGTCCAACACCATCTCCTTTGTCTTGCCAATGTTTAGGTGCAGATTGTTCTCTGAGCACCATGTGGATACCTTTTGAACCTCCCCCCCTCATACACAGATTCGTCTCCACCTGTAATTAAACCCATTATGGTGGTGTCATCAGCAAACTTAATAATTGCAGTAGATGGGTAGGATGAAATGCAATCATATGTATACAATGAATACAGGTATGGACTTAGCACACATCCCTGTGGAGTGCCAGTGCTGAGCTTCAGGGAGGTAGATGTAACAGGCTCAATCCTCCCTATTTGTGTCCGATCTCTCAGAAAGTCTTTAATCCAGTCACAGATGTTAGAGGAAAGGTCCAGGTCCCTTAACTTTCCGATGAGAATGTCCGGAAGGATGGTATTGAAAGCTGAGCTATAATCAGTAAACAGCATTCTGTCATAATTCCCTGGTCTCTCCAGATGACTCGCTGCAAGGTGAAAAGCTGTAGCAATGGCATCATCTGTTGACCTATTTCTTCTATAGCCGAAGTGATGTTTATCCAAGTCCTGTGGAAAACATGTTCTAAGGTGTTGAAGGACCAATCTCTCGAAGCATTTCATCACTACAGATGTTAATGCAATGGGTCTATAGTCATTTAGGCAGTTAATTGCTGTTTTCTTTGGGACTGGGATAATGGTGGCCGCTTTCAAACATGATGGAACACAAGCGGTTTGCAGAGAGATGTTAAAAATCCTCGTCAAGACCCCTGCTTATTGATCAGCGCAATTTTTTTACCACTATTCTGAGCACCCCATCTGGGCCAGCAGCTTTGCTGGGATTCATTGCCCGCAATGCAGCTTTCACTTGATGGTCATATAGACCTGTTAACTCAAATGTAAATGAATAGCTTCATTTACATTACTGTAAATTAGATTCTGTTACTTTTGTAAAATAACAGAAAACTGGAGACTTTCAAATGCCACTGTAGTATCATAAGTTTACTTTGGGAAGATGTTTCTGATTTGGTTTTTTGACAAAAAAAAAAAGTGAAGGAAAAAAAGTTCTGACATTGGAGAATTGGTCTTCTGTCATGAGCACTTGGGAGAAAAAGCTTCTATTGTGATTTCAGACTATTGCTCCTCAACTGTAAAGAATCACTTAGACAAGTCTTTGGGAGTGTTGTATCAGCAATGGGCCTTAGAGATGAAGAGTTATAATTAAATTTTTAAGAATAAGATTGAAAACAATTGAATTTGAGTGATACTAAGATTAGCTAAGTATTATCCTTCAACTGTAGTAGATATTCCTGGTTAGTTCTTTACCTCTATATTTTCTCTATTAATAACAGTTGAGCCATACCTTTTTCTAAATGAAAAAATTGATCTCCTTCAACCTCTCCTAGTCTGACATTTTAGAACAATGACCGACTTGTCCTTGTGGTCAAGAAAAGAAATTTCACCATTTCAGG